TGGTGTGATCATCGACAATTTTAACGAACAGAAGAAAAAAACAGGTGAATTATGATAAACATAATATAATCTATGAGTATTAGTTATTATTTTAAATAACCTTAGACATATTGGGAATAATCATAACTATATGGGCTATAATTTTAAGTATAATATTATGTTCATGTTCCAAACTACGAACTTTTGATTAAGCTAAAGAAAAAGAAGTTTAAGAAATATGCGATTAAGATTTATTCATTTTTAATTATGATTAATAATTATAAAATATTACAATAGTTCTCAATATGTTTCGTATACTTTAAAAAAACTATACATTTTATATTTAACTGTATACATTTTTTTTTTTTTTTTTTAAGTTATTAGCTATTATTCTATTAATTTATTTTAATTTTGCTTTTTTCTGTGCTAAAATATAATAAATTTAAAATTAAGCCTGATGAAATTTCAGGAGCTTCTCTTGAAATGTTTATGACAGAGGACCAAAAGAAATATTATAATGCTATGAAAAAAATGAGTTCCAAAAAACCGCTTAAAGCAATTCCAAGACCTAGGGTTAGTTGCAGAATTACTACTATAATTTTATTGTTTTACTATATTTATATTAGTTAAACTAAAATTTTTAATTTATTTTAGTGGCGTCCACAATCTATTGTCTTCCAAATCGTAACGGACAAAAAGTTTGACATGTTAATCATGTTGTTCATCGGTCTTAACATGTTGACTATGACACTTGACCATTACCAACAGACCAAACTGTTTACTGATGTATTAGAACGTCTTAACCAAATATTTATTGCTATATTTTCAACTGAATGTCTACTGAAAATATTCGCATTGCGATATTATTATTTCAAAGAACCGTGGAACTTATTCGACTTCGTAGTCGTTATACTTTCCTTAGCGGGTACGTATTGAAATAATAATAATAATATATTACATATAATTTCCTTATCATAATACTTAATTAAACTTCTACAGGTTTGGTGTTAAGTGATTTGATTTCCAAGTATTTTGTGTCACCAACGCTCCTTCGAGTGGTCAGAGTAGCTAAGGTGGGCCGAGTGTTGCGTTTGGTAAAAGGAGCAAAAGGCATTAGAACTCTATTGTTTGCTTTAGCCATGTCACTCCCAGCGTTATTCAACATATGTTTGTTACTATTTCTCGTTATGTTCATATTTGCTATATTTGGTATGTCATTTTTCATGAACGTAGATAGCCACGGAGGTTTGGACGATGATTACAATTTCCGTACCTTCGGGCAATCAATGATACTTTTATTCATGGTAAGCCATCAATCAGTCATATAAATGTCATGTCTAACGACAATAGTGATTCAATAGTATTTTTATATGCAATGACATAATATAGTTTGGTCAGATTTCTTATTAGTTAAATAAATATTTTCAGCTGTCTACGTCTTCCGGTTGGGATGCTGTACTGGATGGTATAACGAACGAGGAAAATTGTGATAAGCCAAATTTAGAGATGGGTATCACGGGCAGTTGTGGTAGTAGTGCTGTGGGCACGGCATTTTTGCTTTCGTACCTGGTGATTAACTTTCTCATCGTCATAAACATGTACATTGCGGTCATCTTGGAGAACTATTCACAGGCCACGGAGGACGTGCAGGAAGGTCTTACGGATGACGATTACGACATGTACTACGAGATATGGCAGCATTTCGACCCTAATGGTACGAGATATATTCGATACGACCAGCTGTCAGACTTCTTAGATATTTTGGAACCACCGTTGAAGATCCACAAACCAAACAAGTACAAGATCGTGTCCATGGACATACCGATTTGCAAAGGCGACCTAATTTACTGTGTAGACATACTGGACGCGTTGACCAAGGACTTCTTCGCGAGGAAAGGCAATCCCATCATCGAGACCGTGGCCGAGATCGGAGAGATGCAAACGCGACCGGAAGAGGCTGATTACGAGCCCATTAGCTCATCTTTGTGGCGTATGCGCGAAGTTTATTGCGCAATGATCATACAGAAATCGTGGCGCAAGTACGTGGCCGCCGCTAAACAGAAGTCGGCGGACGAAGACCGGAGTGATGGCGCTGCTTCGCCGGATGGTCGTGAAACCGCCGTGTTAGTCGAGAGCGATGGTTTTGTCACCAAAAACGGTCACAAGGTTGTTATTCACTCGAGATCATCGTCAAAAAGCTCAAGACTCGCCGATGTTTAAAACACGACACGATACGTCCGTATTGCGAAAACAATGTATTTTGTACGTTATTATTATTATTATTATTATTATTATTGATATTATTTATATAATGTATTTATTACGATTATTATGGCAACATTTGCGATTGGAGCTTTATTTTATAAAATGATATTGTTATATTCTTGATTTTCACTTAAATTTTTAACACTCTTATAATATTACTATTGGCCAACTGCTGTGATATATATATATGTATATATATATATATATATATATATATATATATATATATATATATATATAAATAAATATATTTTATAATTTGTAGTATTTAAGGTTTACACGAGAGCTTAAAATGATTATTAAGTGATATTATTGTTCGTTTATTAATGATGTTATTTGTTTCCCTATGCATAGTGGTTTGTAGCCAGCAATGAAGTTAAACTATTTAAATAAAACTTCACGGCTTATACACACTAGGTTAAAATACTTGTATTTTTGTTATTATTATGTTTATTATTTTTAAATTTTGTAATTTTATTAATGTAAAGTTTTTAATAATGTTTAAAAATGGAACGTAGACATGCACTGTCTCTGGATAAATTATAAAATATACCTACAAGTTTTATTTTTATTAAACAATTAACTTGTAAATTTTTAAAATATTTACATGTACATTTTTAATTATTAGAACCAAGTCAAAAACGAAAAAAAAATATAAACATAATATTTAAATTTATCATTAAATTTTTATAGTTTCGTTTCGCACACTAAATAAGCAACACGTATGTTTCGATCTCGCATTTGGCAAATAGTGCTGTACAAGTTACTATAATTTTTTGTTTATGACTACAATGCAAGCCGTGATCTGTCGGACGGTAAGTTTTTATAAACAAATATATTTTAAGTGGGTCACACTCAAACTGACCGAATGGCATAGTGTATGAAAATATGGATGTCGGTACAAATCCACCGATGCTAGTATTTGATATTTGGACACAATTATTAAACAGTAATGAGAGTTTGAAACATATAGTAACGGAATCGCGATTAAACAATGAGAAATTACAATTTCAGAATTCTGAAATAACTACTGGGAGCCTTAAAGAAATTTTGAGACCTCTTAAAAAAACAATCAAATGGACAAACGAATTAGCGAGAACTTCTGTAAAAATCCACAAACCACCTTTAATAACAATATGTGTGTATATAATTTTAAACAATTAATGATTAGTTTAAAACTCAAAGAAACTGAAGGACATGAACAACAAATGATAATATTGGCTAATGGTAATATTAAAATAGCAAAAGGTAACGAATATTAGTTTAATTAGTGGAGTAAAATGCAATTTTTTTAAACTATATGTTGTCATTTTTAATTTCTTATATAATCTTGGAAATTTGTTGGTGATAATAGGTAAGTGAAACACTTGCCTATAATTTTTAGTTTATAGTTATTATATTTTACCATTTTTTTTAAACATTTTTTCTTGTTGAATTAAAATAATATAATAATACAAATACGGTCATCCGATGAAGGGCTGATAAATACTATGTGGCATGATGCTGAAATGATAACAAACAAAGTACCAATGTTTTTATCAATAAATTACTAACATTTCTTAAACATTTCAATACTTACAAATAGCTTAAATAGTCTAAATATTTAAACGTGTTTATTGGGTCTAGGAAAATATAATTTTAGTGCTATGTTTTAAGTTTTTACAGTTAATACTTTTTGAATAGCAACAAACTGAAATTGTTTGATGAAAAAACTTTATTTTATGTGTGAATATTCAATTTTACAAAATTTAAATTTTAAATGTCATTTTTCTATCTTATATATTAATAATAAGCAATTTATGTGTGTAGGTTTATAAAATCCACAGAAATTCTCCACATTGATCGCTCTTTAATTTGGTACATAGGCGAGAATTTACACTTTTTAGGTCAATTTTTAAATTTTGTATTTTTAACAGAGACTTATAAAAGTTTTTATTTGTGCAATATAAACGAACCTTTTTTTGTAGATGTATGATTTCTATTGATAACATAAATTAAAATCATTTTTAAAATTATGTATAATGCTATACCTATATCTTATATTTGGTCAAAATAATTAATGTTGTGTTAAAAATATGAGTAGCTTACATTCATTAAAGTTTAAGACAGGGTAAATACACTGTAACTATTTTATGTGTCACAAGAAATAGCGCGCAGGATCAGTTATAATTAATAATTATTTACCTAACATATAAAATCTAAAATCTAAAACGGATGATATTTATAAAAATCTACAGTTTTCAAACCGATTTTTATAAATTAACCATGAATAGTTTTTTAGTAAGATCTTCAGTATTCTTTCTATTTTTTATTGTATATTTTTTATTTTTAGCACATATCTACATTTTAAATATAAATGACTTTATAATAAATTTAGATTTTTTTATCTGTTTTGCAGTTAATAAAATAGTTATTACGATTGGATATAATTTTAGACCTTTAATTTATACTTGATCAAAATGGCCCGAAAAACTGTGTTATAATATGTATAATTTACATAATATTTTAACGAAGTTTAAGAAGGAATAAATCCATAAGCATTTAATTAGTATCGGACAACATAGTTCAGAATAAGCTCAAAAAAAATATTTGTTTAATGAGCGAATGAAACTCCACTTTTTTTTTTAATCGAAGAAAACTAATCGAAACATTTTTGTATGATAAGCTTTCTTAAAAAAAAAAAAACTGTACTTGTATTCGTTTGTTCAAAAATTTTATTTGCGTATTTCGTTTATAATGTATGAAAGATGTTTTAATTATGATTTATGTTGTTGCCGTTTTGAAATTTGTTTATTTGATACTTTTTTAACACGTATTTTGTGGTTTTCATCGATTTCTTTCAATAATTTAATTACTGCACAATTTAATCCCATAAGAAATTGTTCTGATGGCGCAGGAACATTTTTATATGAATTTTTTAAAAAAGTCATGTTTCTATAACCAAATGTATAAATCTATTAAACATCATTTCTGACTTTTATTACCTACCTGATATGAATACAACTGTCATCTTCTGGATTGGACGGTAGTTCATATTGAACTGTAGATGTAGAAGCCATATTGTAGTCATAATTAGCCACAAATGATGTACCTGGTTGTTGTGTTTTTGAGTTATTAAATTTAATGGTTCTTTTATTTTGACAAAAAGAACATTTATTTTTATTAGACGATGACATGGTCATCATTAAATAAAAAATATTCTCAAAATGATCGACGATTTGGTTTTTATTTCATTTAGTTTTTAATAATACTTATTAGAGTAAAATATATAAATATTAATAGTCATTACAAATATTTGTATGATGTAAAATATTTATATAATGTAACTATAGTAACTTGAAAAAAAAAACTATTATTTGTTCATTTGAATTATGATTATAAACCTACGTCTTACAATAATTGAATAGACGCAAGAACTTATCAGTAAATTTTAAGCTTTCATAAATCCATTCCTTGCCCTTCTTATTACAATCCTAGTAGAATTTGAAATACAAAATTACAAAAACCACTCTGACCTCTAAATAATTATAACCATAATAAACTCACGTCAAAGTGTTATAACTGGTTAATGTATCCATCGTGTGTAAATAAATATATATTTTTTTCTTATTGTACTATGTGTAGCTTATATGATTATCTGAATAAAAGAAAAAATTTAATATTTATTAAGTTTTAAAAGTAATTGCAGTTTATATGACAGTTGACAAATATAGAATGTTATTAAGAATTTTCTACAGAAGAGCTTCAAATATATTCATCCGAAATTAAAAATAGATAAGAAAATTGTGTAATAATAATTTATAACCATTAAATTAATGGTAGTTTGAATTGATGAACAATTTTATGATTTAATTGTATCATTATTGTCGTTTAATTATATTAACAATAAATATTTTACTGAGTGGAATATTCATATGTTTTGTAGTTTTATATATCGTGTTTAAAAGTATGTATATGAACAATATTGGCAATAAATTGGTTAATACTAAATTGTGAATGTTATACATTATAATATTTATAATATACGTAAATATAATATATGAAAATCTACGTATGGATCAAGTAGAGGGTTAAAAAAAACACATTTTTTTTCTCAATTTTTTTTATTAAAGAGACAAACAAATTATTGCAAAATATGAAATGTACATTATTAAAAAATATCCGTAGGTAGGCAATATTATCCGACAATTTTCGTACCGCCAAAGAGGGAAGGACATGCCGGTGCGAAAAACGTCGCATACATATTTTGTTTACATTATTCAGCGTTGTCCTTGTCTCAGATACAGCAGATAACAATATAATTAAATTAATTTGGTTATTAATTTGCTTAGTATAAATTTACCCCGAAACAATAATAATAACGTCTCTTAAAAAGTATGCATAAAAACAATAATTTTGTTAACCCTTTAAGCAAAAATTATAGGTAAGAGGGTGTTTACACAATACTTATCATCCATCAATTAACAATTTTTTTACAATATTTTCTAAATCTTAAAACTTTCAACAATATTCAAAAGTGTAACAAAACGATTTTTCAATATTTTTTCAGTATTACAAATTTTGAATCTAAAAATAACAGTGCGTTTAGGACGAGTTTAATTGGTAGTTTTCCAATAAAAATGCATCGTTACAAAATTTGTGCGTTTTTCGAGTGATTGAGTCAAGCGTTTTTTTTTTTTTTTGTTCTTTTGTTCTTTAAGAAAAAAGGTCATATTATTAAGTATTTACGCTTCGTTTTTTTTTTTAAATTTTATTTTCTCTCCAAAAACTGGTATTTATTTAATGCTTTTAAGCGAAAGCGACGTCATTTTGGTAACTCTAATCTACCTAACACATTTAATTTTGAACTAAAAACTTAACAGATTACAACAAATTTAACTAAAAACTATGTTAAAATCTATTCATTAATTATAAATTAAAATTATCTAAAGCGCTTGATGTTATTTCTTTGTTTTCATTTTGGTGTTATCGCTTGTTCAATGTTAATCCCATATTTTAAACACGTATAAATAAATAAATATATAGATGTATATATATATATATATATATATAGGGCTGAATTAAAGCAATACAAGGTCAAGCCAAAACGAAAATGAATAGTCTCTACATAGTAGATTATTTTATTATAAATCATTAATACAAGTTTAATTATTTTTATTATTATTATTATTATTATTATTATTAATAAACATTTTTACAAATAAATTCGTTTGTTATGTACATTATTTTACTTTCTTTTGTAAAATTGTTCGTCCGTAGACAAAAAACAAAATACAAACAAAACAAAAACGGGCGAAAATAAAATAAAAATTCAATCACAGATACGACGTATATAGAAATATCACAGATCATTTTATTTTAAACTGCGTATTTATTATAATTATTGTATATATATATAAATACATATATAAATATATATATATATATATATGTGTGTGTGTGTGTGTGTGTATGTAGATAATATTATTTTTTTTTAAAGGTCTGTCAAATAAAGCCTGGTTTGGTGAATTGTTTTTATGTGTTAAGATAATCATTTTTGATTGTATCATATATTACAGTATATTAGCCAAAACTGTTTAACTGGTTAAACTGTATAGTGTAACAATATTGAAAAGCGTGTCGAGCTTAAATACTAAATAAGTTGTTTTTATCGTTTAGGTTACCAAAATGACGTTCAGTATAATGTATACAATAAGTTAAATGTGAATATACTTTAGCGAGTATAACTTAAGCTCTTCAGTGTCATTTTCACAGACCTACCTAAAACAACACCACAGGCTTTTGTAAGTGCATGTGCAATGGAAATATTCAAACACGCGTAAAAAAATCACATCTGGCACGGTAGGGATCGAAACGTTAGATCACCGAATCATTGTTTTGATTGTGTTTTCAATTTATTAAACGCTTACAGACATATAAATTATTCATGTTGAATAAAAAGAAAAAAATACCCACTGAAATTTACACGGAAAAATGTAATAATTCGATCCCTAGTAGTCATGGTGAAAAACATAGTTATTTTTCATCCAATAACAGTGCACGTGTAATTCATTTATGGCATTTCTTATAGAACAAATGTAGTAATTTAAATTCTCAGTGCTTTGTTTCGGTTCTCTTTTATCTTTTCATTATTTTCATAAGAAATAAAGAGAGAAAGTGAGCTGTTTTCCTAAACAGCGTAGTGTGTAGCCGGCTGAAGCGGTTCTAACAGCCGAGTTAATTATATGCTAGCATCTGAAATGTAAAAAATGACATAAGCAATTAATATTAATTATTATTTCTAAGATAAAAATTTAATTTTCATAACTGTTTTGAAAATAAAACTAATATTTATTTTCTTTTTTAGATTTTGGATTGATGACTGTATTAGTTTTACAATAATTGAAGTGTGTTTTATTTGTGTCATCACACTTTAGATTAGTAAAAAAATTTTGATTTTCAATTATGAGACTGATTTTTGGTAGCAATTTTAATCTAATTGATGGGATTTATAAGATTAACATATCTATTAAAGTTACCTACTCAATTTCGTGTTTCACTAAATACCTATACAACCAGTCGAGTTTCCGATTTGTATCTGTATTGAAAAATAAAAAGATGTTTTTGTTTCAATTGTATAAATAACTAATAATTTTAATTAACATTTTATTTTTAAAACAGCTATTATATTTTTTAAAAATGCATGATTTATTTGCATAAATTTATTTATTACTTTAAACTATCCAGGTCGAAACTTTCCTTTTTGTAATCATTTCCAACTTTATTTCCTTGATGATTTCCAATCGAATTCCCAACTTGGTTCTTTTTTATTTTTTGTTTTACATCACCTATATACACATAATAAAAATGTATTAATGATACAGCCTTACAGATTATTATATTCTTATATATTTTAATGAAAGATCTAAAGCTAAATTTAAAGTTTTATCAAAACAGCCTAACTTTTTATTTTTTGGTATAAAATATAATTTCATGAAATGATTAAACTTTTTATTTATTTATATAATTTGCGAACTTGGTATTAGAAGAGAAAAAAAAAATAATACATATAAATTATCATTAGATTTATGAGAAGTTTCGAAATTTCGATAAATACATTTGTTTTTCATTTTTTATTAAATTAATCGTTTGCAGATATTTTGCAAGAACCAAAATATATACTAATTTTATTTTATAATTGGCTCTATTAATAATTAATAAATATTATTAATCTTTAACTTTGAACTAATGTTAAAATATAAAATATACATTTTTTTCTTAACTAATAAACTTAGCATTGTATCAAAACAAAATTGCAAATAATTTTACTTATGCTATTAGTAATTTATATTTATAAGTTTTATTGATCGATTTAAAAATGGCTGATATCGATATAAGTTCGTAATACATTATATCGATATAATGATATCAATTAATATTAAAATAGTCAATGTATAATATGTATGTATTAAGTGGCGTTGTGGCCATATTTCATTAAAGATATTGGTTTTCTTAACAGGAGTAACATAATGATGTTTTTTTGAAACTGGCTAAATAATTTCAAATTCATCCATTTGTGACATTTACCCTATTCTTTAAAACATTGGGATTATAAATTACACATTTTCATTAAACTATACAGTATAGCTATTACAAATAAATCATATATATATGTATATATGTACAATGTACATATGCTATTTGTAATAATATTCCAAAAAGTAAAAAAAAAAAACTTGGCTTGTTATTTTTTGTATTGAACAAATATTATAAGAACCTAATAATTTTTACTGTAATTGTATTGATAAATTATTTCATTTATTTATAAAACAATTATTATGCTAATAAATTAAATAATATACTATATTTTAAATTATATAAAATTACCTGGAATTGTGAATTCCATCCCGTCACCAATTGTCATCTCCACTGGTTCTTTAGTGTCTTTAAATGGTGCAATAACGTCTACAATTGTTTCGTCAACAGGCAAGTCTATATCTTTACCACGACCTAAAAGTGATGAATACAAAAATATAGAAAACATATAAATAATCGTTTATTTTTTATTTTTAATGATACTACCACAGAATCTACAGTATTATGTTACATATTTTTATTATACTCGTACAATCCTATATGATATAAACATTATGCTATATATGTTATAAGAAAACACGTTTAAATTTATTTTGTTAGT